TCCTGGCCCCATCCTCTCTGGTGCCCCCACCACTCCTTTTGGGCCCATCTCCTAGTCCCCATTTTCATCCTCTGCTCCATTTCCAGAAGCCTCCCCATCTTGCTAGCCATGCCCTGGGGGCTCTCCTCAACCCTCCCCTCATTCAGGGATGGAGAATTTTTAAAAGATGTATATTTATTTATTTTCTTACAGCGTGGGTCATCTTTCTATAGTTAATGTTCCTCTTAGGTGCTGCCCTTCCACCAATGATCCACCACATACCACCACCAGCTCCCCGGGTCTCTGATCACTCCTCTCCCCCCTGCTCTAAGACGTGGATGGGTGGTCGGCCCACGGTCATGACGTTTTCCTGGAACCTTGTCCTTTTCCTGGGCGAGGACCTGGGCTCCTGGGTAGAATTGAATGTTAATTCCCAGGAGGAGATTCTTTCACCCCTGGAAGCAGAAGCAGAAACAAAGTACAGAGACTCTGGAGTCCAAGGATCCATCCGAGACTGAAGGAACCTCTATATTTGGCGGATCAGCCCATATTCTGGGAGTCAGCTGTTATGACCTGGAAACCTGCTTTTGTCCTTTGTCCAAGGACTAAGAAAAATTGAGGACTTCTGACCTGACGCTGGACTTGGGCGCCCCCTTGTGTGCAGATCCCTGTCCTGCCGCTGGGGGCCCAGGGAGCCTGGGGCGGGCATGGCTGAGCGGGAGAAAGGGCGGCTCTGGTCTCCTGTGCTCAGCCCTGTGGCCACACGGGGGCGCTGCCGCGCTGTTCCGGATTCAGGGAAACCGCCAGGACGGGGCGGGGGCTGAGTTGGGCAGAATTGGGGGTCCTGGAGGGCGGCGTCCTGGGGGTGAGATGCTCTGTGAGGAGTCAGAGCAGCAGGGCTCAGAGGAGAGGAGACTCCGGAGCCTGCCCTGGGTGTGAGGTTTCCAGATTTTCTCCCAGAACCGCTCTCTCCAGTCCCTGGACGGTGATACCTGGGAAAACTGGAAAAGAAAAAAAAAATTTCCTTCTATAACCTATTAAATATTGAGAGTATTTTAAAAAATAACATTTAAGGAATACTGTTCGATTTACAGAAAAGTTGCAAAGGCAGTACAGGTCTTGTTTATCCCACACCATTTCTATTTTGTTAACATCCTACATGAGTACAGATTTTTTTTTTTAACAACTAATGCAGCAATGTTGACATAATAACTAAACGCCATACTTTAATTTGTTTTTGCTAATGTCCATTTTATGCCCAATAATCCCCTCCAGTTTGTCTGGATGACAGTTTCTCTCAGACTTTCCTTGTTTTTATTACGTTGACACTGGTGATGTTTGGGAGAGGTGGTGGGGTCACAGATGGGGGTTCTTGGGTCACCTCTAATAAAAGCTTCCCTAGAGTCCTCCTTTCAGTGGTGTGAGGACACACACACACACACACACACACACACACACAAAAGGAAAGAAGATGATGCTTGCACAAAAAAATTGGCAGGAGGAGCTGCCCCTGGAAAGGGTGGGTGTGTTAAGAGAAGCCTGTTAGTGGAGGCTTATTAGCACTCTGTTGGTGTGTGTGGTGTGGAATTACAATTTTAATAGGTGTGAATCTGTACTCCAAAAATTTATACAGTGTTATAAATCAGTGTAACACATTCATATATATATTAATTATCGCTTTTGGGTATTTTGCTTACATAACCACTAAAAGCCATGATCCATTACTGAGGTCTTACTATGTGGGCCTCTTTGTTGAATCATAGTCTCTAGTATACTATCAGCTTTCCAATCTTCAGATATGGAGGAAATTTCTAATTCCGTTTGCTCCTCAGTTGATCTATATAGCCAACATCTGCATCAATAATAAAGAAAATCCTTGAATTTCCTCAAATTATGTCCTGGAAAATGTTCCTCAAATTATGTCCCCTGCAGTTATTTCATTGTTTCCTTTCCTTCCCAGTCTGATTTGGCTAATTTTAATTCCATTCCAACAGGGAACAGTGGTAGAGAAAGAAATAGATGAGATAGTAATACATCACTCCTTAAGTCTTGTAGCCCTAGGAAAATTAAGTGTCCTCTATGGTGGCAAAAAGTAGATTATTTCCAGATGCAGGAGCACTCACAATGTAATGGAAACACAGGGTTGTATTGCCATGGGTTTGATCCCTAGCACACTTTGGAATAGGGCCTGAGTCCTGCGTTATAAGTCTATAAAACTAGCCTGGGCCCCGGGCTCCAGGGAGGACCATGGATTTCTGGCTCATGCATGCACACTTCTCTGCCCCACCGGGGGCATATTGTGGCATCACCCTCATAGAGACTTTGGGCCCAAGACCTGTTTCCTGTGGTTTCCTGAGATGAGGTTCCCCAAACTGTGTTTGCATGGACTAGCTGTGAGCCATCCTCAAACTTCCATAATGGAGTTTCCCTTCTTGTATTTAAGTTGTATTCTGTTGTATAGTGATTTGTGGACTAGACAAGGTAGCAGAAGTACACTGAAGCAAGTTGATTAAGAGTTGATAAATGAATGTAATGTCACAGAATTAGCTGATTGATTTATTCTCAAAATGTTTATACTTCAATTAGTTTATGCTTTAGTTTGAGTTACCATGTTTATCCCTTCATCATATTGCTCTGTACTATTCTCAAATAGTTTCTCATTAAACTCTTTTCTCCTTGATCTGCTTTGCAGACTTTCCAAACAAAGACCGCCACCTTTTTCCAATGTATTTTTTTAAGCATAGAAGAACTGGGGTGTGGACCAGAGGTGCAGTGGTTGAGAGGATTCACCAGAGAGAGTGGGGAGCTGAGCAGGCAGATGTACTGAAATACACTGCTAAAGGGAGCAGCAGGCATGACAGGAGAAGGCTGCTGCACCCTATGTGGCTTAGCTCCCTCGTGGGGAATTGAACTCGGGCCATAGCAGTGACAGAGCTGAGACTCCCTAAGCCACCAGTGAAGCCCCTTTCCCAAAAATTTCTCACTGCAGTATTGGCCATATAGAATTTAATATAAAATTAATGTGTTTTTACTGATCAATGAATCATGTAACAGGCAATTTTTAGATTTAAATTAATTTGCATGCATGTGTAAGGAATATATACTACATGGTTGATATGAACAGCTTTTCTGGTTTTTAAGTGACTCTGAAATTGAAAAGAGTCTTTTTGGTAAATGTCAAAGTTAAAATGAATATGAAAATATTTAACCTTTCAATCTAATTATAACAAAATGGAAAATAACAAAAGGCAGGGTTTCACATGGTAGCCCTGAAGGATAATACTTTTCATATCCCTTTTATACAACTCTTTCGATAAATAGTTCTTCGTTACCTTTTTATGTTACAAGTTTGCATACTGAATCAGATTGTAATTAAATAACAGTCTAATGAAAAACACTATGTTTGACATAGATGTAGGTCATTCTGTGCCCATAAATTTTTAAGTAGTTGATGGAAAATTGGTCTCTCTAAGTAAGAGATTTTTGTTTTATTTTCAAGTTAGGCTGTAGTTTTGTATCTGTGGGCAAACCATTTACTCTCCCTGGTATTATCTTTCTTCTAACTAATTCTGTGAGTCATAGTCTCTTCTGGTACCATCAATATTATTGCAAATAGCAAGATTTAATCTGGTGGGGTTTTTTAGTAGCTGAGTAGTATTTGTGTGCTGTGCGCCATATCTTCATAACCAACTCATCTGTTGTTGGACCCTTAGGTTGCTTCCATCACTTTGGTAATGAAAATACTATTACAATGAACATAGGAGTGCACATATCCCTTCATATTAGTGTTTTTGTATACTACAGGTAGATATCTAAGAATGGGATTGCTGGATCATAAGGTAGAACTATTTTTGGAATTTTCAGAAATATCTATACTATTTTTCTCGGAAGGGAAAGAGTCTACCTTTCCACCAACAGTGGAATAAAGACATGGGTATAAGTTCTGAAATCACAAAATACACAGAAAAACAAAAATGACTGAGTTCCTTAATCAGCCTTAGAGATGACTTTTGTCAATCAGATTACATTGGCAAAGGAAACAAAAACAAATATAAACAAATGGGACAATATTAAACTAAAAAGTTTCTATAGAGTGAAAGAAACCACCATTAAAAAAGCTAATGATTTGGAGAAAATACTTACATATGTTAGACAAGGGCTTAATATAGAAATTTTATAAAGAACTCATTAAACTTGTCATCGAAAGAACAAATATCTCCATTAAAAAGTGGACAGAGATGGTGAAGAGTGATTTGTCCACAGGAGACAAAGATGGCCAGCAGGCCCATGAACATGTGTTCCTCCTCTCCTATTCAGAAAGCAAATCAGAAGCAAAATGAGCAATCATCTCCTATATGTTAAGATGGTTATTATCAAAATAGACAAGAAACAAGTGATGGTAAAGTTGTGGAGAGAAAAAAAATCTTTGTAAATTGTTGTTATGAATTTAAATTGTTGCAATCATGGAAATAGTGTGGCAATTCCTCAACAAAATTAAGAATAGAAATATCACATGACCCAGCTAGCTGACTTCTCTTTAGTTGTCAAGCTTTATCACAAAAATATACAAACTTAAATTCAGAGATATATGGAACACCATGTTCATCATAACATTATTCACAACACTCAAGACTGAAAAACAAACTCAGAGCCCACTGATAGATGATATAATAAAAAAAAATTGTGATATATATATACAGTGGGAGACTACTCAGCTATAAAGAAGATGAAATCCTGCCATTTGCAACAACATGGATTGACATAGAGTATATACATTTTGCTATATAAAATAAGTCAGAGGGATAATAAAAGCACCATATGATTTTGTTACAGGGCAGGGAGAGGGGCAGCCCAGACACCACAAACCTGCCTGCTCTAAATAGGTTCTGCCATCTGCCGCATCAGCACAAAACATATGAAACTTTACTGGGAAGGAACTTCAACACAATTAGGAAACAATACAGGAAAGGCCAAGACTACAGTTTCTTTTTTTTAATATTTTATTTTATATAATTCTTACATCATTTTTCATCTTTGCACAATGTATGCATTTTCATTTTGGTTATATCCCCAATACAATTGCACCCCCACCTTATTTTGACTCTAGTCCTTCCTCTCCTTGCCCTCTCCCCACCCACTGTGTCTCTATAGTTTCTAAATAAAGTACCCAAAGTAACCCGTCGCCTCATGGGTAAAAGTCCATCCAAAGGGATTGGTCCGGAATAAGGCCCCAAAGCCTGCCACAGGTCTAAGGCATCTTCCAGTGGGGACCCACAGAAAAGGATCAGAAACCACCAGACAAGCCTGGAAGGAAAAGAGCAAAATCAAAAGCAAGACAAAAACTGCCATTGTCACCTCCCCACAGGTCTCTCGCCCACATCTGTGTCACCCAGTCCACGACCAAAAGGCAAGAGCAGTTTCTTCATGCGTCTCTCAGCTCCACGTGCCTCCTACCGGTCTCCTCCTGGCTCCATCCTGCTTCCTTCCTTCCTCAGTCTCCCCTGCAGCTTCTTCTCTCCCTGCTCAGCTCCACCCTCCCTTGGGTGGGGTGGGAACCTGGAACCTCCCCCTTTCCTGGGGACCACCCTGTTACAATTTCACTCCTATATAGATGATAAAGAAACAAAACAAATGAACAAACAAAACAAACCAAAACAACATCTTAGTCTGTAAGAACCAAATATTTGCTACCAGAGGGAAACAGGAAAAGGGGCTGAGGAATTTGGGTAAAGGAGTTCTTGTATGGTGAAGAATAGAAACTGTTTATTCAAATGTTAATTTTTAATGTACACCAAAACCTATCACTATATAATAGTACAAACCAGTGTAACTTCAGTAAAAATTAAAAGAAAATGAAGTGAAACACAAAGATGTTTATTAGATTTCATGAAATTTGTGATAATTCTGAAACTCCATTTTTATATATATGTAAAAAAGTAAAAGCTATTCTGAGATATTTTCACTTGCTCTCTTATACGCAATACTCATACTTTTCCTCAGCAGTTAATTTTTAAAAACAATGGAATCAACTGATGGCATATGAAGGGACATTTAAAGGTCTTAATTTCAGAAGACAATTATTCTGATTGCTGTCTGTTCTTTACAGTTTTTGCTATAATACATGGGAGTCAGAATCTATAAGATGGATGAGGGTTGCTCAAAGACCCACATTTTGATGCAAATTTCCTAAGTCATCCTAAATTCCAACCACTTCAAAATTCATGGAGCAAACCCAAAGACTTAGAATTGTGGAGAAAAGGGAAATGATTTCCTTAGAACAAGGAAATGACACCCTCAGGCTAAGTTCAACCTTGTAAATACAATGAAAAACCAGCCACATTCATTTGTTAATTGCCCTTGGCTATCTCCTTGCTGTAGTGCAGATTTTAGTAGTTGCAATAGAAACTACAATATATGGTAAATAAAGTTTGAAATATTTATTCCTTGATGAGAGACAAATTTGTCAATCCTTGTTCTGCAATCATGATTTGTAAACATTCAAGCGCAGCTTTTCTGGCATAGGGAGGGTGAAGAAAGATATCTGAGCTTGTGTACTTCTTCCCTTATCAGCTCTCTGAATCTACAGAAAAATAAGGGAACTTTTTAGAGTTTGAAAATCAGTGAATTTATCTTTAATTGCCCAATCAATATTAGCTTCCTAATGCTGTTAATAACATTTGTATCAGAAATAATAATTCAGGGTCAGTGATATAAGCAATGATTGGATAGTCATTTTAAGTTGAACAAACATTATTAAGCACTCTTTGTGGTGGAACCGTAGCTGGGGGAAGCGTGAGGTATGGGGGTGTAAGAGTGCAGCAGAGATGAAGTAGAGAACAGAAAAGGAGGATTTATTGAAATACCCTGCAAGGGAACAGGGGGCAAGAGGGAGCTATACACCTGTGTGTGAAGGATTTGAGACTTTTACACTAGGGTTACATAGGGTTTCTTACTTGGGGAGCCAGTTTGCATGGGTTATCTGCTGGGATGTCTGCTCTTTGGTGCAGACCTTTGACACAGACACATGTGCAGTCCCTGCCTCTGCATTCCTGGAGCTGGGCTGGTTTATCTGCTGTGGTGGTCAGTCTAGTGGCCCAGTTCCCGTGGCAGCCTTATTGATGTCCTTCTCTGCTCAAGTCTCTCAAACATGCCTATGGGGTAAGAGTGAGAGCTTAGTTTTTAACCTTATGAAATGATACCCCGACACCCTTGTTGGGCCAGATGTATACTGCAGGAGTGACAACATAATCCTTTCTCTGGAAATCACAGTATTTTCTTTCCTTTTTCCAGAATTTATACTATTTTTGCTGATTTAATGGGCACATGTTTTAATATTTGGCAATTAAACATAGTTTTGACAGTGACTAGTTTCTGTGAATATCTTAGACCTTATCTCACAATTCCTTCTCCTTTGTCCACATGAAACACTGACCTCCTTTTTCTTACTGCAGGGTGATTCAGTCATTTCTGCCTCTCTGTGCTCCCCTCTGCAATTGTGCTTTCTCCCAAACTTTGCTGTATGCATCCTGGTCTGTCAATAGAGTTCATATTGTCATTTATTGAAGTCTTATAATATCCATTAAAGAATAATGTTTTCATAGCTTTACAGATACATACATTTTATTAAAAATATCCTTAAGGGTTCTTGATGGAGGGGGCGGAGCAACATGGCGGCGAGGAGACACTGCGAGTAAGATCTCCCATTAAAAAAAGTTAATAGGGAGGAAAAGCGGCAGGTCCCAGTGAGAACCGGGACACGGAAGATAAACGGGTGACTCCAGCAAACTACCCGAAGAAGAAAGTGGCCATAAAAGAGGACTAGAAGGGAGGGAAGCGCAGAACCCTGCTCCCCTCCCCCGCCCACAGAGGCGGCACTATCCGACCGGCAGAGAGGGAGAAAAACAACAAACCAAAACAACCAACAAGAACAAACGACGCAGCAAGCGGGACTGTGAGTGGAAAGGAACTATTGCAGCCACCACACCCCGTGAACGGGAGCTGAGGCGAACCCTGCAGGATTCGCCGCAGCGGTGAGCGAACGGCTCCGGGCGCCATTAGAGAAGAATAAAGACCCCGGGAGACGCGCACACAGCCCGGGCTGCCGGTAAGCTGGCGCGGAAACGCGGTGCGCTCGGGGAGCTTGAAAAGCAAGTGCAGACCTGGATCGCGGCTGCCCAGGTCCCCGCGCCTGCGACCTAGGCTTGCGGGGAGACAACCTAGGCTTGCAGGGAGACGCGCGGAGGTCCTCACTGAGGTGAAGGTCCCTCCCTGAGTGAGCAGGAACCAGGCGCCCAGGCACGGGAGCGGTGCAAAAGGCGCCATTCCCGCGCCACTGAACTGGGCTACAGCCCGCGTCCTGGAACTGAGGGCTTTGAACTGAGACCCGGGGCACGAAAATTCGGGGCGTGGGTTCTCCACGACGGTGGGGCACAAGGCAGACAGAGCACCCCAAAGCTGTTGAGGTGTACCCTACCATTCCCGCTCTGTTCCCTGTCCCACGGGGTGGGGGGGACGAAAAACAGCCCCCCAAGAACAATAGGAGAGATCTCTGGCGCCACCTAGTGACCAGGAAAAAAAAGTCACTAACACCCCATAGAACAGGAAATTTCTTAAGACTGCTTGAAAAGGGCAGAAGGCTTCTGCAGTGGCCAGCCGGGAAGTTATTCCACGCCAGGCCCCTTCCGACCAGCAGTCTGAGCCCACAGAGGGAGCAGGCACCCACGTCCGGGGCAGACCGGGGGCGCAGAAGAGTGTGCCTGAAACCGGAGGCGCAGGGACTGCACCCCGCTTCGCCATTTGAGAACAGGGACATCTCTTCAGTAAAAACTGCCTAAAACCAGCAGAAAGCTCCCCCAGAAGACAGAGATGGCTCCTGGAAGAGCCAGAGGGGAGCGGAGAAGTTCACCCAAGATGTCAGTCAGTCCGAGCAACACAGTGTCACAACGCATACGACAAATTAGAAAACAGACAGTAGGGAGTAGAAGAACCACACGCAACCTAAAAACTCCTCAGGAAAGAAGCACACCACAAAAAGAAAACCACTCCCCAGATTGCAACGACAGCAACTTGGAAGAACTTCTGAGCCTTCCAGAAAGAGAATTTAAAATTGCCATGATTAAAAAAGTGATAGATCAGAAGAAGGAAATTGAGTCCCTAAAGAGGGAAGTAAGAGAAATGCAGGAGATCAAAGAATTAATGGAGGAACTAAAGAACTCTGGGAAAAGCAATGAAAGCAGAATAGATGAAATGGAAGAACGAATAAGTAATCTTGAAGACACAGAAATAAAAAGAACCAAAACAGAAAAGGAAAGAGAAGTACGAAGGAAAAAGAATGAAGAAAGACTTCGGGAACTATCTGACTCCATGAGGAAAGGAAATATAAGAGTTATAGGAATTCCAGAAGGAGAGGAGAGAGATGTAGGAACAGAGAAAATATTCATGGATATAATTGAAGAGAACTTCCCAAATGAGAAGAAGGAGCTGAAAATTGATATACAAGAAGCAAGAAGAACACCAAACTTCCACGACGAAAGGAAAAACACAGCAAGACACATAATAGTAAAGCTCCCAAGAATCCAGGACAAGGAAAAAATAATGAAGCTGACAAGAGGGAAGAAACAGATAACATTCAAAGGAAAACCAATCAGGCTGACATCAGACTTCTCTGAAGAAACACTACGGGCAAGGAGAGAGTGGAGGGACATAGTCAACAGACTCCAAGAAAACAGATGCCAACCAAGAATACTCTATCCCGCAAAGCTCTCTTTCCTCCATGAAGAAAGAATATGGACCTTCCCAGACAAAGAGAAACTCCGGAATTTCATTGCGGCTAAACCCCCACTCCAAAAAATACTACAAGGAATCCTAAAGCCAGAACCTCAGAGGGACGAATAACAACGAAAGAAGACCAAAAAAAAAAAAGTTATTAAAAGAATAAATAAATAAAATCAAAGGAAAGACAAACATAATGGCAAATACAGATGCTAACATATCAATATTAACTCTAAATGTAAATGGACTAAACTCTTCAATAAAAAGACACAGAGTTGCAGCCTGGATTAAGAAACAAAACCCAACCTTTTGCTGTCTCCAGGAAACACATTTAGCTACAAAAGATAAAAATAGGCTCAAAGTCAAAGGATGGAAAACAATCCTACAAGCAAATGGGCCAAAAAAGAAAGCAGGAACAGCTATACTTATATCAGATAAAACAGACTTCAAACTCAAAAAAATAAAAAGAGACCCCAATGGTCACTACATTATGATTAAGGGGACAATACTTCAAGAAGAAATAACACTCATTAACATATACTCACCAAACGAAAGAGCACCAAAATATATCAGACAACTGTTGTCCTCTCTGAAAACAGACATCAGAGAAAACACATATGTAGTGGGAGACTTCAACACACCACTATCAACAATGGATAGATCAACAAGACAAAAAATAAGTAAAGAAACTAAAGCTCTAAATAAGGACCTAGAGCATTTGGGCTTAACAGACATCTATAGAACACTAAACCCAGAAAAAATGGAGTACACATTTTTCGCAAGCGCACATGGATCATTCTCCAGGATCGATCACATACTGGGGCACAAGACAAACATCAACAGATACACCAAGATTGAAATCATACCAACCATCTTTTCTGACCACGAAGGCATCAAACTAGAAATAAATCATAAAAAGAAGGCAAGGAACTATCCTACCTCATGGAGATTAAAAGCCACACTACTGGAAGACCACTGGACTAACGAGGAGATCAAAGAAGAAATTAAAAAATTCTTTGAATTGAATGACAAGGAGGACACCAATATCCTAAATGTATGGGATGCAGCAAAAGCAGTAATAAGAGGAAAATATATAGCAATAGAAGCTCACATCAAAAAACAAGAAAGAACTCAAAGAAACAACCTAATCTCGAAGCTCAAAGATCTAGAAAAAGAACAACAAAAAAACCCCAGAACCAGTAGAAGAAAAGAAATAATAAAAACCAAAGCAGAAATAAATGAAATTGAAACTAAAAAAACAATCCAAAAGATCAATGAAACCAAGAGCTGGTTCTTTGAAAAAATAAATAAAATAGACAAACCCCTAGCCAGGCTCACAAAGGAAAAAAGGGAGAAAGCACAAATACACAGAATCATAAATGAAAGAGGAGAAATCACAACGGACACAGCAGAAATCAAAAGAATAATCAGTAACTACTATGAACAGTTATATGGAAACAAGTTCAACAATCTAGAGGAGATGGACAAATTCCTACAACTCTACAATCACCCAAAGCTAGATAAAGAAGAAATAGAACACCTAAACAGACCAATTACAAGCAGCGAAATTGAAATGGTAATTAAAAACCTCCCCAAAAACAAAAGCCCAGGACCTGATGGATTTACAAATGAATTCTACCAAACATTCAGAGACGAATTAGTGCCTATCCTTCACAAACTCTTCCAAAAAATTGAGAAGGAAGGGACAATACCAAACACGTTCTATGAAGCCAATATTACACTAATACCAAAACCGAATAAGGACAACACAAAAAAGGAAAACTATAGGCCAATCTCCCTAATGAACACTGATGCAAAAATCCTCAATAAAATTTTAGCTATCAGAATCCAACAATGTATCCATAAGATAATTCACCACGACCAAGTTGGATTCATTCCAGGGGCACAAGGATGGTTTAACATCCGAAAATCAATCAACGTTATCCAACACATCAACAAAAAGAAATATAAAAACCATATGATAATATCAATAGATGCTGAGAAAGCTTTTGACAAAGTGCAACACCCATTCATGATAAAAGCCCTTGAAATTCTTGGGATACAAGGAACATACCTCAACATCATAAAGGCCATCTATGACAAGCCAACAGCCAGTATCATTCTCAATGGTGAAAAGCTGAAAGCAATTCCATTAAGATCTGGAACAAGACAAGGATGTCCACTCTCACCACTGCTTTTCAATATAATACTGGAAGTCCTAGCCAGAGCAATAAGACAAGAGAAAGACATCCAAGGAATCCAAATAGGAAAAGAAGAAGTCAAACTATCACTATTTGCAGATGATATGATAATATACATAGAGAACCCCAAAATCTCCACAGAAAAACTAATTCAACTCATCAATCAATTCAGTAAAGTGGCAGGATACAAAATCAACACGCAAAAGTCAGTAGCCTTCCTATACACAAACAATAAATCTGAAGAAGAAGAAATCAAAAAAACCACCCCTTTTATTATCGAAACAAAAAAAATCAAATATTTGGGAATAAATCTAACAAAAGAGGTAAAGGACCTATACAAAGAAAACTATAAAACACTGTTAAAAGAAATAGAAGAAGACACAAAGAAATGGAAAGACATCCCCTGCTCATGGATTGGAAGAATAAACATTATTAAAATGGCCATCCTACCAAAAGCAATATACAGATTCAATGCTATTCCAATCAAAATCTCAATGGCATTCTTCAAAGAAATAGAACAATTATTGATGAAATTCATATGGAATCACCAAAAACCCCGAATAGCCAAAGCTCTACTGAAAAAAAAAGAAGGAAATGGAGGCATCACACTCCCA